TTGCAGCTTTAAGGCATTTTCGAATTTATTTAATAGGGCTCAAATTCCAAATTATTACAGATTGTAACGCACTACGTGCGACATTTGCAAAAAGAGATTTAATTCCGCGTATCGGACGGTGGTGGATGCTTACGCTTGAATATGATTTTACTATACAATATCGTTCCGGTACTAACATGCAACATGTAGACGCACTTTCGCGGAACCCAGTAGAAACGGGTGAAGACAGTCTTACTTACGAAGCCTATACTATTAATATCACAGAAGAAGACTGGATTCTAACAGCCCAACTGCAAGACGAAAGGTCAAAATATATAAATGACATATTATCGCGAACACCCTCAGATAACGACGAACGCGAAATCCACAAAAATTTCGTGTTGAAAAACGGTAAAATATATCGAAAAACGGTGTCAGGGTTACGTTGGTTAGTACCCAAGTGTGCACGACGACAAGTTACCGTGTATTGTCACGACCTAATAGGACACTACGGTTTCAATAAAACTTTTGATACAATAGCAAAACAATATTGGTTCCCTAAAATGCGCAAATACGTAAAAAATTATATAACAGGTTGTTTACCATGCCTTTATAATAAAGAAACGGGTACAAAAAAACCGGGTTATTTACATCCTATACCGAAGGTCAGTGAACCCATGGATACCCTTCATATTGACCATTTAGGGCCATTTGTTCCAAGTAAACACAAGAACACGTATATCATAGCTGCTGTTGATAGTTTTACAAAATTTGTCTTTATAAAAGCTGTACAGAGTACAAAATCACAGCCGGTTATCAAATTTTTAGACGATATATTTGATACTTTTGGAACAGTGAGACGAATAATTTGTGATAGAGGCTCTTGTTTTACGAGTAAGGCCTTTGTAGAGTTTTGCAGTAGCTATAATATTAAATTAATACATAACGCAACTGCCACTCCAAGGGCAAATGGACAAGTCGAAAAGTATAATAAAACCATTTTAACAGCATTAACCACCATGGTAAATGACGAAACACGATGGGACGAATTAATTCACCGTGTGCGGTGGGGCCTTAACTGTACGATAAATCAAACGACAGGTAAGAGTCCATTTGAGGTATTTTTTGGGTTTCAGCCAAGGGGAAAACATGATTCTGCTCTGCGTAATGCGGTTGACGTAGAACAGGACCATGTTGATATAACTGAATTACGTCAGCAAGTTCAAGAGAAAATAAACTCTGCTCAATTAAAGCAAAAAGAATATTTTGACAAGAAAAGGTTGAGACCCACAGAGTACCGAGTTGGGGATACGGTAATGATTAAAACGCAAATAAATAATAACGATGGTAAAAGTAGAAAGTTAATGCCGAAATATTCTGGCCCATTTGTAATTAAAGCCATCTTACCTAACGATAGATATGTAATCGAGGATATGCCTGGAGCAACGCGCTCACAAAAACATTATAATGGAGTATGTTCCATAGATAAAATGAAATTGTATAAAATACAGTCAATAGACGAAACTAGTAGCGATTCAAATGATGATGATGAAGTAAATAAAGAAATGTAATTGATTTAAAAGAATATACGACATGTAAAGACAGTAATTTACTTTGTTTAATAATCGAAAACACGTAAACATATACTAGACATATATATGTGTATATATTAGACATATAAGACGTATTGAATGAAGGAAGTGAGACATGTCCGAATGTTTACAGTGCACTGAGTGATGTGATATATGTATATTTATGTGAACGATAAAGTATGAGAGTAAGCTTACTATGTGATTACGATAACAATTTTCAGAGAACTTTAAGACGTATATTAGGCATACCTTCAACGAACGAGACCTACGGGGTCTACACGAAATAAATTGACCTACGGGGTCTACATGAAATAAATTGACCTACGGGGTCTATACGAAATAAATTGACCGACGTGGTCTACACAAAATAAATTGACCGACGGGGTCCTATATGTCGCATGTTTGAATTACAAAAGATTTGATTTTACAGGGAAAACATCTACGAGGACGTAGATACATGGTAGCCTGGCCGAAACTGTAACGGATTCACATGCGAAGGTCAAGTTGGATACACTATTCGGAGATTGTGATGACGTTTATTCAACAAGACCAGCGCAGCAATCAGGCCCCGGGTTTCTAAACATTAACCTATATATATGAATAAGCTGATGTATCAAGTTTTAGCAATAGGATAAAACGATTGGAATTTAATTCGATACCAACTGTGAAGTAAGCTTGGTCGTGTTCTTGTTACTTTTCAATAAAATCTAAATAGAATAGTTTCTGACTTGAATTTACTTCAAAAGGATATCTTGAAAAAATAAATATTTGTAGGTATACTTAAACTCTTTTATTTAAGCATTCCTATACACGTACACAAATATAAACATTTGTACAAAATATAAAATAAATGACATATATTTCACTTGATTCTTCCGTATTTCAAATAGTTCTCCGAAACGTATAGTTCCATGTTCCATTTTTTTAGTTTTTGTCCTCTTGTCTTTAATAGGTATTAGGTAGTGGGTATTATAACTATGTTTAGGTAAATGTGACGCAAAATTCGAAATCTCTACACATATCGTTTTACACCTTTTGCATCGATATTCATTATTTTATATGCACCTTACAATAACCACAACTGCACACACTATAAATTATCACATAAAATAGCATCAAAGTAACGATCATGGAGACTATATTCTCCCTGGTAACGATGAAGAACAACGAAGCCAGGCAAACGGGTAAAGGCAAACCCAGAGATATGGAGTAGGGGAGAATGAGCTTCGACGAGTGCGCATCCACTTTTCTAGGGACGCTACGGGCGCAGACATTTTGAAGGCTTTTACGTCACGCAGTGACGCAGTTATTGTTGACGTTAGGTTCGCAGGTGTGTTTTTTGAGGTTATTCATATTTTTGTTTGTAAATTTCGTTTTTATTGAACTTTAAATATGTCTTGTGCTTTGTACTGTGAAAGGAAGCGCAAATTGCAGAAGATGTCCAATACAAAACATTTCTACATATTTAGGTAGCTGTACACAAAAATAAGATATTTCCACTTTTTAATCTAAATTTTTATTGTAAACATGTAATTTTTTTATTTCTAGCTTTCCTAGAAATGAAACTTTACTGGACAAGGACAAGGTTCTTTCTATCGAAAAAGAAAATTGGGTATGGACAAAAAATAACGTAATTTGCTCTGAACATTTAAAGCGGATGATTTTCTCCCCTTTTGTGGAAGAAAAATAGTACGACCCAACTCTGCACCTTCCATAAAATTATTTTGTGGTGTATCTTCTTCCATTTTAAGCAAGAGTACTTTATCGAGTTCAATTAATACAGGAGCTTTGACCAAATTGATGTTACAATCAAGTGAATCATCTTTGACCTATAACGTTACTGAAGTTCGAATAGGTATAACGTAAAAAGAAGAGACAACTGAATTTAAGGTAATAAAGATTTGTAATTTAAAAATAGTAGTAATGCTAAGGATGTTAAATACGTACCCTGCCAAATTGTTTGATACGGACCTAATAAATTAAGAAATAATATTTACAGTAATTTTTTTTCAGTGTTCAGAATACATCGAATGGTAACACTAGTACTGATAGTAGTGCTAAGAGAAGGAGTATTATGGCAATGAAAACATACTTTAATGGATAACTTTAATAATGAAAATATCTTTGCAGTATATCTCCTACAGTTGCAACGAAAAATGTTAAACTGAATCGTAGACAGGAAACTTACCGTTCAGTCTTTACGAAACGAAATTAAGGACGGATTATTCAAGGCCCTGCATTAAGACAAAAATTAAATAATTATTTTCAACCATCAGTAAATAAATATGTTACGTTATACAGTGTTTTATTTTAATATACAAAATATTTAGGAACTACATCACAAAATTTTTTTTATTTCATATAAATTGAGTACCTACCGCAATCTGTTAAAGTTTATCGTATCAAAAATATATTATTATTGGTGTGATTAATATTCTCTGTTGAACCTTCTGTGAAACAAGATAGTTATAACATAATTAAAGTATCATTCAATGTAAAAGATAAGCACAANAATAAATAATAATATAAGCTCCCCTAGATTTATTTTAGCGCGAGTACATTTGGATTCTTTAAATATTTTGTTGATATTTCATATGATTACATACATAAAATTTTACGTGTTCTGCAGCTCCGCAGGTCTTATGGTAAAACCGCCATAGCCTGTATTTATTATTTCCTCAATATTATTAATGCAATCAATATTAAATCCTGTAATAAAGTTATAATTTAACCAAAATAATAATAATTGCTGATTTTGTATAGGTAATAAACGCCATTAGAATTTAATACAAAATTCTACAAACCTATTTCTCTAAAGCTGTATTTTTTTTAGTTTTAGTTGCTTCATTTCCTCCTAAATAAAAAATCTTATATATCTAGATTGCACAGCAGAAATTATTAGAAGAAACTTTTTTCCTAAAACCATAAATAAAAATGTTAACCTGTTTAGTGCAAATTCTGTAGCAAACACTGTAATATACATTTAAATATTTAGGTGGTAATATTTAGTATGGACAAAAAATTTAAGAAATAGTTATGGCTGAAAAATCGAAACTGATATAGAATTTATACCTTTGTAAACTGCCGGGTAGTACTTTATTTAAATATAGCCGGAAACCCTGGAAATATCAGGATGTTTTTGGTTGAAATTTAGTGTACACCCTGATTATTTAGCACTATATTTATTTAGGCGTAGAAGGTCTCGAAGTCAGTCAAGAGGTAGAAAGAGAGAAGAAAACGGCACCGATCCTATACCGAACAAAACAATGCTTATGACAACGGACGAGGCAATGGTCATGGTCCACGGAGATATGGCTACTATAAGGGATGGTAACGTTACCCACCAATGCATTCAGACTAATTTGGCTGACGTCATCTGCGGAGGTAAAAAAAGGTCTTATGTCTCCCTCCACAAAAAAAAATATGTGTATTATATCCCAATTAAGTACGACTTGCTTTTAATTCACCTGAGCCAAATTTTTCTCCTAGGAAACGCAAGTGATAAGGTTCTCTACCCAAGAACGAAGAGGCGATCCGCGTCTTTCCCATCTCCCAGAAGTCCAGATCGAAGAGGTTCCTTCAGGCTATGGAGCTCCAACAGACGTCTTCGAAGATCAGCTTCGACTAGAACCATTTCAAAGCATTACGTAGACACCAGCAGCAGCACAGAATATCCAAACAGTGGGGACTCGACACCGACACCGAGTAAGTTTCGGAAAGTGATTAGCAGCATAAAGTTGTATTTATTTTGTATTGTAGAGAAGGAATCTCTCCTTTCGAGGTTATTCAGGAGGTCTAAGAGGTCACAATGCCACATTGGAACTTTCAGTGCTCAGTTCCCGCCAACGGAATGGTTCAACTCGAAAGCTGTGCATCTGCATAATGTTGGCACCCAAACGGCCGCCACAGAAAAGGTAAAGCAAATGGTATCAACAAAACTTAAAAGTTAAATAAGGAGATAGGTACATGTATACCCCAGTGCAAAAAAAATCAAACCACAATATTCAATACTTACAACCTAATAAAATAATTTTGTGTATTCTCTGCATGGAAATTGTATGGTGCTATTCATAATTTACGTAATAAAACTTCTCTGGAAATTTGTGCTAGAACTAATAAATACTTTTGATCCATTTCTGAACCTGAACTTGAACTGTGTAACCAATTTAATATTTAATAACAACTCGGTAATGTATTACTTTTGAGGAATACTTCTAGACAAATCTCTGGAGTTTCGGGACTTTAATTTCCTGCTGCTCAAAAAATTTATCGTTGAATTATAATAATCGGTCGCACTACTTGTTTCAGGAAACTGGTTTGAATATAGCAGCGTACCTCGATAACTGCGAGATTGGTTCCTCGAGATCCGCCACCTTACCCAGAAATCACCGCAGGCAACTATCTAGCGACGTCACCATCGGCACGCCATATACAGCCTCTAGGGAAAATTCCCCCATAACGCGATATTCCAACTCTTACACAACCAGCACCCTGCCAAAAAAACAAAGCTATCGTTGCCGAGACAGCTTAAGGAAAAGCAGCAGAACTAGTCTAAACAAACCGTCAGTTTCGAAAACTGCCGAAACTTCTATCGAAATTAAGCCAAACGAAAGCATCGATACAAATCTTTCTAGTCGCGGTTCCCTCAAACAACCCGGAATGTCCAGCGATACAGATCCTACAAAAACTAGTCAAAGATACACAACGAGCTTTAGCTATGAGGAACCCATAGAGTCTTCGACGGATTCGCCAGTGAAGAACCTCTCCAGTATCGACAATAGCGGCCCAAGCAGTATAGAGTCGCATAAAAGCAGTAAAACAGGCAGTTCCCTAACTAGCGGCCCTTCTAGCTTAGAATCGCATAAGACGGTTATCGACAGGAATCTATTAGACTCTCCTATGAGTACCGAATCGAGAAATATTAAAAAGCACGCCAGAAAAGTGTCCGCTGCAAAGAACAAAGTCTCTCCGAGTCCCGTAATTCCCATGTCGCACAGTAATTCCTTTACGCTTCAAGTGACAACTAACCAAAATGGATTGAACGTCAACAGCAAAACAAATGCCACTACCACGACTACAATCAACGGCGGCACCGCAGGTAACACGAAAATATTCGTCCAGAACTCCCCGGTAAGATCAGTTATTACATTTGAAAATGGACAGGCGGAAAACAATCCAAACGTGATCGTCATCGGAGATGGTACCGAACAAACGAGAGAAAATTGCGACGTGAAGCCAGCAAAGAACACTAACCAGTTCAAACAGTCACAACTAAGTTTGAACAATTCTACCAATTTTGAAAGTACTGCCAACAACGACTCTAAAGGTGAAGCCATGAACAACAATCGAAAATTGTCCCTACAGCTGCCATCGCGAGATAGCCTGAGCTATCACAATTTAATCAAAAATGTTTCGTCTGGTTCCCACAACCAGTATAATTCTACGTCCAACCCAGATTCGCCAATAGCAAATACTTTCAGGGAATTCTCAAAAAATTCCCTCTTTACCAGCACGCCTCCTAGTCCCACAAAAAGTTACGACGGTATTCCCATGCTATTTTCTGGGAAGTACATAAAGAACGAAGTCGATACGAAAACTTCAGTCGAAAAATCCTTTTACGGACTGGAAAACGGAAAGGCGCTGGACAAGAACGTGATAGGTTCGGAGCCAAATATTTGTTACAAAGAGAAAACTTTAACGAGGGAGAACAGTAACCACCAGTTCCCCAGCCTAAGCGACCTCAGTTTCAATTTTACCAGCTTGGCGGCGCAGAAGATTCTGAAAGGTGTCAGCATTAATAGCGTGGACACCTTGGTGGAGCTGAACATGGCCGCCAACGTGGAGAAACAAAATAACTGTGATGTGGTGCATACGGATTTCGGCCTGTTCTGATGATTGATTCTTTTGCAAACTTTTTCAAACAAAGTTCGCAATAAGATGTGTACATATATGAGTCGGCTTTTTTCGCTGACTGATGACGGTCTAGATACCCCCTACTTAAATATATTTTTATGAAGCAGAAAATGTATACAAGTATCTTAAAGATTTGTATGTATTTTGTAATTTTGTATATTTATTATGTAATGTGTAATAAAATGTATGTATCTCACGTGATGTGTCTCATGTAACCTGCGTGCACAGATCCGATAACAATAAAATTATACCTAGGACCGATGTACATTGTGCGCCAAAAGTTAATGTACATGTTCGATAACTACCTAATATCCCAATGGCTCCAAGTCGAACAGCCTATAGGGCAGGACGAAACAAAACAAAAATAATTCAAGAATAAAGTACTATAAGTCTGATTTTTTTAAATTCACCAGAATGCTATCTAGAAAAGTTTATTAAATATTAAAAGATATGATCAAATCAAAATCTAGTCGAAAATAAAATTATAAAAAGATTACTTTGAATACCCCTCATTCAAACGAACCATTATTAACTACACTTAAATCATATTCGTGTACCTTTTTCCATGTTCGTCGCATCTAGGGCTTGGAAGAGGCTTTAGAATCAACAAAAAAATCTCACGAAGAAATTGCATCGAAAGTAAAATTGTGTTTTTAGAAAAAAATCCTATGAACTTGTGTGTGAGTCAAGTACTACAAACAAGTGGATGTTTAGATAGGCCCTTTTCTTCTTACCTATATTTTTTTTTAAGAAATCTCTGTATACTTAGGAATCTGTCACACGTTTAACCATTTCTATTAGACGTAGGTGGTAGTATCTATTATAAATCTATGGCTCATTACAGTTCCACCCTAACGTAACAACTATTATATGAATTTCTTTTAAATATAAAAAGGTTCCAATTAAGTATGGCTTTTTCCTTATAGTTTAATTATGTAGGCTGGCAAGTAATAATAAACACATTTAAATTTGCACGCAAAATAATAATAATTTTTTTTTAGGTTATATTTTTAATATAAATGAAAATTTGATGGCTTTTTAACATGTAAAGTTTCAACAACTGAGCTATTGTATCCTTCATTACGTAAATAGGTACATATAATTAGTTGTTAGTTGTACATACCTACCTACAAAATCATTGATCATAAACATAGTTCGAAATAGTTTTATATTTTGCCGGCTTACGTGACCATCTACATGTCGCGACACGGACCCCACTAATTCGAGGACGTTTTTTTTAAGGTAGGTAATCATTAATGTGAAATACTTATACGTTTGTTAAAATTTATAATTATGAAATTCAACCGGTAGGTACACTTACTATCGAATTTGAGGTGGCAGGTTCTAGAATCATCAAAATCGTTATATTAACCCGATACGAAAACAGGCGTAATGCTGATTTTTAAATTACTCCTAAAAAAGTGTATAGGATTCAGAATTAAATAGGCATCTTTGAGCAGTAAAAGAGAATATACAAATATATTTTTTTAAAAACTTACTAACAAAGAAAATGTTAAAAGTTGAGTAGAAATATAAGTTTGTGGAAATATTTAGGATTTTTTAATATGGCGAAAGGAGGAAAAAAATATTTCGTTTCTTCATTACCCCAATTTTCAAAAAAAGATGAAGAGATTGCCCACTAAACATTTTTCAGTTTCTGACATGTTCCAGAAACGTTTCCATTTTTCTTGAAACGTTTCATAAAAAATCCATGCAACGTTCTGGTAACCCAATAGAAACCGAAGATGTCCTCCCCAAAATACGTTTCCAATGAAACTTTTCAAAAAATTGGTTTCAGTAACATTCTTTTGATGTTCCATTTATGCACTCGATATTTTTGTTTTACGTTTCAGTATATTTTCAGAAATGTTTGAGTAACATAATAATTTTTATACCATATTGTTCTCATAATGCTCTCAACTTTAGATAATTTCCATTTCAGAAGCGTTTTTGAAACAGTATAAACAGTGTGAGTAATTTTTTAAATATTTCTAATACTCTT